TAGTTTCTACCTTTCCATATTTCTAGTTAAGTCCTTTTTCTCAAAAGCTTAGTGTGAGGGAGCCAGGCTTCAGCACGGCCTCACAGAAAACCGGCGTGAAACCATCACTGGTATTATGGTATGGTTGTATTTCGCCGTATGAGTGAGGTTTATGGAGCACCAAACCCCCCATCCCTTCCCAATCCTTAAATATCCGAAACACTTATCCCTTAACGGTTGGCAACTCTCCCTCACTCGTAACTCCTTTGATGTTGGGAGTGTCTGTGGGCGGCGCTGATTACTTACCATCAGGAAATCCGTTTGCTCATTTGCTGACCTATATGTACCATAAAAAAGGCTACGGGCGTGTTATTTTATCAACATAAACTAAAATTCATTACAAGTAACGACTTTCTCCCGTTAATGATCTGAGAAAAGCTCTAATAGTTTCAAATAACGGACTTCATCGCGATACGTGTGGCGATAATTTCAACTATTTATTTTCAAATAGCTTCCGCCCGCGGCTTCGATCCAGGGTTTGACCATCTTTATACAAAATTTCAACCAAATCGGCCAAACTGTTTTTGCTTAAAAAATAACAAATATACATCCTTACATTCACACTTTCACATTTATAATATTTGAGGGATGTAGAATAAATAAAGTACGTCTCACGATATAACTTTCAAAAAAAACAATAATACCAATGCTTCATAAGCATATGTATAAAATAACTGACCTTTTTGACGACTTAAGTTCAGCCAAAGCCAAAAACCTTTGTAACATAGATTGATTCACAGCAACGTTCCCGATCCAGTAAAATGTAGAGCCAATAGACACTGACCATATCGAATGCCTCACTGTTAGATCTAGAGTGACTCTGAAACAAAGTCCAGCAAGAATATAAATACAATTGACAATAAGTCTGTAAGTGAACACTGCTGAGCAAAGGCCTTTTCTCACACGGAGAAGGTTTGAGCATAATCACCATCGCTTGCTCAAGGCGATAGGCGATATTTTCCTTCACCGTATGTCAGTGATGCCGAAATAATCATAGAAAGTATAACTTGGAAAAAAGCCGTAAGCTACTTGCCAGGTTTCATCCCATGGGGATGCTCATGCATGGGAAGTATTATACATTTATGATATACAATGATATACATGACAAACAATAGAAAACATATTGTATCTCGCGTGGATCCACGCTCTAGCCGATTAAGAAACAAATGCATTCCTTCTTAAAAAGCCGGCAAGACGCATTGGACGCCTCTGGTGGGTGGCGAAGATCAGTTACCATCATGTGTTCCGACTGCTCGTTTGCCTACAATTCCATATTATTGGAAATAATACATAGTGGTGTTTGTGAGTGTTTATATGGAAAAACCGCCGTGCTAAGTAATCACTCTTAAGGAACATGTTTTTATTGTTAGACAGCAAAACATTGCAATGAATATAATAGTAGGATAAAACAAATAGGTTATAATGTACAAAATAATACTTACGGTGGTATTTCGACTCGCCCTGTGTTCCAATTTTCTCGGAACACCTCCCCGAGACCGCCAGCGATGATGGTGCCTTTTATAATGACCAGGACCATAGCTCCTATCATGACTATGGTTTGTATCACATCGGTCCATACAACCGCCTTCAAACCACCCTGAAAATAAAAGCCCAGTAAAAAAGTTAACATCAATCAATTTATCAAGATAATTCCTCAACTTAAGTAATTTACCTACTATACCCATATCTAAGCATTATTTAAATACATCATTCATGCCAATATAGTTGCGGTCGGCGAGTAAAGGTAGCTCGCCGCCCGACCAGAACCAGACCCGAGCGTACGGCGCGTAGCTTTCCGCGCGCACCTCAAAGAGCCAATAGACAACCACAGACGGGGCCCTATATAGCTGATGTTCAGCCGGGGTTGACGTTCACCCCAGCTCAGGCACCGCGACCTCGGCCCGAAACAGGAGAAGGAACGGAGGAAACAAGAACAGGAGAAAAGACATTTGATAACAAAAAAGGGGTAAGCACAGTAATATACGCCGCTGCGGGCCGATGGATTTTAGTTGTAGAGATTTGACAACTTTTGGCCCTCAAATAAAAAAGCTCTAATATAATAAAAAGAAGCTAATAAAACTATAAATTACCTAATTTTATCTAAGTTAACGTGTGACTTACCAAAGACGTATAAAATATGCACACGAAGCATACTATAGATGTTGTAATATGAATGTTCACACCGGTTACTGAAAATAATCATCAACGTATTTTAGAAACCAAACATACATATATGATGTTCTTGTTTCTTATATAATTTAATCGATACACTTACCTTGATTAAACGCTAAAGCTGGTACATAAATAACTATGGGCAGCCACGCCATCTATAAACATAATATGGTTGATTTTTAAACGAATCTAGTGTTAACTGTCATAACTGTCAGTGTGAAAATGGCGCGCAATTTCCATAGACGCGTGCTTACTGTGACTCAAATGCTAATTTGGTAAAGGCAAAAGTACCTATTCCAACAGCCTCACAAATAAAAATATTAGTATCTTGAAGGCATGTTTAATATTGAAAACAACATTTTTATATCAAGTATGTAGGTACCAGAGATAGGTACCACGAAAGAGTGAATGTACACAGCTAAAGAACTTACCAAATAGACGCTGAACAAGACTGATCCGAATACTTTTAACCGTTTATCATACCGAAGTTCTAAGTACTAAAACAAAAATTATTTAATAATTATTTTCTAATAGTTTTCGTTAATAAGGTTTTAGTTAATATTATTTTCTTTAAATATGACGCAAAAAAAATTAATAAATATAATACTAATAAACACGGACACTTAATTTCGATTTCACAATAAATTGTTTCTGAATGTTTTTATTGTCTAAGTCAATGATGTATAAAACTATAGATACGTTGTCCGCGTTCTAAAATGACAACATGAAATGAAGGCAATTGACAACATCGCGCTTAGTTACGCACCAACCTGCCGCGCGTCGCTACGTTTGTTTTTAATTTATATCGTGTGTAAACCTGTGCGAAACATAAAGAAAGTATGTCGTCGTGTGTGTTCAGACGATGTACAAATTATACTCCAAAAGTTAAAGACAAAAATGTGTCATTTCATGCGTAAGTTCACCAAACAACCTATTTTTATTTTATTTTTTTCGACGCCGGCGCCCGCCATCTTATGGCGGCCGGCGCATGAAGGTATAGTCACGTGCCGTCGGCATAACTGAAGATGTATATTTATCTCCCTCTAGCAAAGGCATTCCACTATACGATGTCATATTTTCTTTCCCTTTCTTTACTCGTAGAAGTAGTTATCTAGTATTTTCGCCGTTTTTAAGCGCCGCGATGTTGGTTCATGACGTGTCTATATATAATACGTCATTGGTCTAAGTACATTTTCCAGCCAAGAGATGTTTTTCTTTTTTCAAACGGGAGGACCGTTTTAAAAAAAAACTTTTTTCTGTGACATTATCATTCCGACCACAAAAAAGGTTTTACGTTCATTTCACTTACCTCGTAGGCTGAAGTCAATCTCAAATCATGTAGTATTGGTAAAAACGTATAAGTGACTATTATTGACATCAATAAAGTACCAATCAAAGTAAATACAAATGCCGTGCCATAAATATACAGCTCTGTCGGTATACCTAGTAACGATATTCCTGAAATAAAACTTTAAAGAAATGCTTTTATGAGTAATAAGATTTATAAAAAATAATAAAAATAACCAGGTAGGTAATCAATACTGTACCTTGCTACCAGTGAGAAGCAAACAGGTAATAATTTCATATTTCGTCCTCCCATCAGATAATCTTGAGTCGAACTCTGTTTCTTCACAAATCCAAAATAAACTCCGATTCCACCGCAAATCGTAAGCATAAAAACAAATAAGACATAATCGAACCAGCCAAAATGTTGCAGCGATAGCCTTACTGCAGACACGTGCGGCTTTTCTTCCGACATTTTCCGAGAGTTTTTTATTTACAAAAATAATATCACTTTACAAACACAGTCGACCAAGACACATCTCAGTGTCACAGTGTGAATGAATGATAAAGTAATTTTACAATTTGCCGCCCGCGATTTTCTCGATGGTCGAAGCCATTGGAGGCTATTTTTGTTTCAATTGACCATTTCCTGCGTTCGTCGAAAATAGACTTTAACGTTTCTTGGTAGGTCTACTACCTAAGTAGGTAATATGTCGGTGTGTACATGCATAGACGTGTTTAACTTCAGATTATTTACTTACATACAAACGTATTCGCTAGAGAGTTGGATAGATGGAATTATTATTAGGTTATTGCCTACATAGTAAGTAAAAGAAACAATTTTCGACAATTTATAATCCATCTAGGTACATTTATTTTTACGCTGAATGTACAAAAAGGTTACATATTATTGAGAAAGGTCACACAGGCTTCTCAGCACAGCTACAAAGCCATATTAAAAAAAAATAGACAACTTTTTTATGGCATCCGATCAATGTTTTCACCTAAATTGGCCAGTTTTTGTGAAACATTTCTAGAAAGAGGTTAAATAAAAGGCGATTTTACCTAATGATAAAATCGCCTTTAATAATAATATTCAAAGCGTTCTCAAATATTTAGTTAAAAAAAGATTCGCTTTTTATTTTATTAAAACAGTTTATTACATAAATATAAAATTAATATTGTATAATAATAACATAATTATGTTAATTAACTAATTTCTTCTGATTCAGTGATTGGTTTCATATTTATTGAGGTAGAATTCACGTGGCAGGCTTCCTGTTACAGAAAAACAGTACTTATTAGTTTTTTTTAATTATTTACTTATAATAGACACTCTATTACTCATATTAAATATTGTACCTAGGTACTTGAAACAAGAACAAAAATCATAAAAGTATATTAGGTACTATGCAGTTTTATAAACTTATACTTCCTAGGATATACTAACCTTATTTTGTCCATAAGCACTAATAAAGGGGTCATCAGTAGGGTGTGGAGGTTCTTTATATAATCTTCTCAGTTGCGGTGCGAGGAGACATGGAGCGGGAGGTAGGTGTGGCGTTCCTCTCGCACGATTGATCCGTGAGACGATTGCGCCCACGCATATGCTCACCATCATTCCAGCAAGCGTGTACCACATGTATGACACTCTGAGCACCGGGTTCACTTCCTCACTATAACAATGTTACAAAGACAAGAATTACGTTTTCGAAAGTATGCGGAAATAGTTAATAATGCTCAGTTACTTTTGGACTTGGTCCTTTCTACATGAGACACTTTCTGCCCCGTACGCAAATCTTGGGAATGATCTTCCGGCGGCGGTATTCCCGAACCGATGCTACCTTTAAACCTTCAAGAAACGAGCGTACTACTTCTTAAAAGACCGCCAACACGCCTATGGCTCTTATGGTGCTACAGGTGTCCATGGGCGTCGCTGATCACTTACCATCAGCAGATCCGTCTACTCATTTGGCAATTCCATAAAAAACACTATTTTCCATAATACCATGTGGGAAAGAAAATACTGTTTAATAGATGTTAGATTTGTCAGAGAGCAATACTGTTCGGTATCTGTCAAATGAGGGTATCTAAGTCCAATTTTTTGGCACCAATAAGAGAGAAGATAGTCGCAAATATTCGTTGCACTACCGTCACTGTTTATTTATGTACTCAAGCACGTAGCTGGGGTCGTGGGTCAAGCACAATAAGAGGTTTAAGAGTATGACACTTTCTCTCCCCATACTCTGGGTGATAGAAGTCATTTTATGACTTTCCCGCCACAAAAAGGTACTCTAGCGTAAGCACAGGGTTACATATGGTAGGGAAAGGAATTTTTTTATATGATACGACGACGATCTTTTGGGGATTAGGGATTTGGATATTTAAGGATTGGGTCAAGGATTGGGCCTCCGATAACCTCACTTAGATAAGCGGCGATCCTGTTCTATAGTTTTTTATTATTAGGCACTGCGCAGTGTTCCTTACTAGACTGGTAAAACTACCTAAATACGGTTTCTTCGACAACATCTTCCACTGCGGTGAAATTGTAGGTGCATCCTGCAGTAGATAGGGACTTGTGTGTGTGCACTATTTGTCCCCTAGCTATGGCCAGTTGTGAAGTAAGGCACCACCAGGACATCACTGCTAGGCCGCTTACTCCACCGACTAAGGCCCCCTGTGGAAATAATGGTCATAGTTACGAGAAGAAAATCTACACCATTTCTATTGATGATATTATGCCCATATTATTTGTAGAATCAATCAGTTTTTAATGAAAAATTCCAAAAGCAGATATTTTTTATGTCAAAGGGTGGTAAATTTTATAACCTGATGTTAAGTAGGTAACCGGTGCCGGCCATGGACACATGCAACACTAGAGAACTTTTGTGGACTGTTGGGGAGGAATGGGACGAGGAGAAGAATTGATTTTCCGATAACCACACTCACAACAACGAAACACAACGCTATCTGTCACACACCGGTCGAGCCGGTCCATTCGTGCCGAACGCGAAGTTTGGCACTCTCACACTTTATCTGGATGTTATTATTTAATATACAATCCAATTAAAATATGTTTACTTTTGCTTATTAATGCTAAACCCTCAAAACTAGCCAAACAAGAATACTAGAAAACAAAAAAAATAGGTAAAAGTCATTTCCTAATGTCTGTAGTTGGAGGGCTTTTTTTGATTAAAGTACCTACTTAAGTATTTGTAATTTACTTACTGTAGCATCTACCCAGGGCATAAGAATTCCCATCGTGAATACTCCAAGCTGTGGGCCCATCGTCATAGACTCTAACGTCATCGTTAATTGTAAGATGGTTCCCATCTTCTCAACTATAAACACTAGGCCTGAAATGAAATTATTATTGGTTGGCAATAATTTTGATTTAACATACATTTCATCATCATCAGCCTATAAATGCTTAATGCTGATCAAAGACCTCTTCTCACACGTAGAAGGTTTGAGCACTAATCACGACGCTTGCTCAAGGCGGATTGGCGATTTCAAACTTACAATTAGAAATTATATGTCCATGTTTCCTCACGACATTTACCTTCACCGTTTATCAGTGGTATTTAAATAGTCATAGAATAGAAAGTACATTTGACTCGGAAACAGTCACATTGGTACTTGCCAGGTTTCAAACCCTCATGTATGAGAAGCGGATGCATTAACCTCCACCACGGACGACACACAGGTATGTTGATGCCACAGAAAATAGAAAAAGGTTAGAAAGAGCTTGTGAGCGGGACAGGCGCGTCATCTATGAGCATTTGCTGGTAGTGGAACCGGAACATGCGATCGCGGTGCTTAGTCAATCGCGAACTTTTTCTGTTTTCTGTGGTAACTAATTACACTATGAACAAAACTGACTTTCCTATTTTATCAATTTGCTTAAATTTGTCGTCTTTGCAAGTTCAATATTGTGTATAACATTATGTTCATATAATATAAATTAACATTTCAGCATTATTTACCTACACAGAGCGTGCCCAGAATTATGACGACTCCCTTCATAATCCAGCTAGCTTGTCTATCAGTTAAAGGTTTCTTGAAGAAGGGTTTGTAAAAATCTTCTAATACAACTGCAGACATCGAATTCAAACTCGTTGATAAAGAACTGAAAATAAAAATAATGTATTATTATAATTGTATAACAACTAAGAAGCACTCAGATCCAATATATGAAACCTTACCTAGTTAGTATACCTACTATATAATAAAGCCACTTCCCTCTGTCTATCCCTGTGTGCGATTAGATCTTTAAAACTATGCAACGGATTTTGATACGGTAATAGATAGAATAATTCAAAAGGAATGTTTTGTTGTATAAGTTACTAAGGTTTGTTGACGACGGGGTATGAACTTACTTTAAAATATTGGTAAATGGTAACTAGCTTTTGCCCGCAACTTTGTTCGCGTGGAATAGTGATTTCCTGCAGATTTTTGGTTTAAAAAGTATCCAAGTTTTCGAGTTCCAAACTATATCTGTACCAAATTTCACACAAATAGGTTCAGTAGTTTAGGCGTGAAGGAAAGACAGACAGACACATAGACAGAGTTACTTTCGCATTTATAATATTAGTTTGGATAGTTTGGATAATGTAATGATAATCAGAAAAACAATAAGTACATAAGTACTGTGTACCTTAGAGCAGCACTAAATATGCCAGCTATGAAGACTCCAGGTAATCCAGGGATCTCGCCGAGAACATCCATTACTAACAGTGGAAGCAGTTGATCCTTTGCTTTAGCTAACTGGGGAAGGAGTTAAAACGCAATATTATAAAAAAACAAAAGGAGCAGTAGCTCTTTTTAAATAGTAACTATCGTGAGATTCAGTCAACTGAGTTAGTTGACTGCGCGATGTCGCCGCGACGCATGAATAAGAGTCCCGTTGTGACTTGAAACTAGTTGAGCTTTTCTCAATTCTCAGTTCACGCGAGTAAGTCGTTATCTATACTAATATTATAAAGAGGTATAAGTTTGTATGTAGGGGGTAATCTTTGGAACCGCTTGTCGAATTGCCAAAATTCTTTCACTGGTAGCTACAATGTTCCTGAGTGCTATAGATAAATTTGGTATGTCTCACGATAGTTACTATTCAAAAAAGGTATGGCTAGAAAAAGTTAAGGAGTTTACGAAACTACAACAGTAAGTACTTATCTATTTTTTCATTCAAAGTTTCTCAACCCTCTGTGACCAGCTCATGTGACGGATCGTGATTTACGAGATGCAATTTTCAATTGCAAGATTGTTTTCACATTGTTCTATCCCGTGCAATAGGAGTCAATTGCGGGAAGTGAGTCATTGGTCTCAGCGAGGAACAAACCCATCCATCACCGACTGTGATACCCTAAGATTTGAATACAATCGTAAATGTGCCTGAGTTACCTTAGTCTGCAAAGGATCGCAATCATAAAACCTTGCGTAGATCAACAAGCCGCAGTATAGACAGAAGCAATAAAGGACAGAGATGCCGATGCAGAACAGGAATACTGCCCTGAAAAATAAAGATCTTCTATTTTACATCACCCTCGTGGAGGAATTAACGCCTTTAATAAACTTCTTAGCCTTGAGAACGCGTCCACTTAATCTGGTGTGGTTCTTTCCTCAAAAGACCACTACAGAATGAACTTGCACGGTTCTCTCACATTATGTTATTTTAACATTGTCTGGAATTGAATAGAGACTGACCTCTGAGTTTGTTTCGGTATTTCTTCTCAGAGTAGTCAGATAGGAAATGCCGGCTTCATCTCGTTTTTCACATATAAATTGACGTGTAAAAGTGCCGTTTTATGGCCTATTTGCGAAAATAAATTCATTGTTTCATAGCCTAACAACAGGTGGATTCGCTTGAGGTTTGATGAATTAATAGAACAATTTTGGTCAAGAGTACTTCGATACTTACCATTTAGCTCCCCGCAAAGTCGGTAATGAAAGATATCTTTGTATCATAGTCTGGTTGACAGCATTCGATTGTAGCCAGTAGATAGTCCCGCCTACAACGAGGCTCCAAATTGTATGCCGCGTCAGAGGATTCGGATCCCAACTAAAAATGACAACATTTTATTAAATATTCGCAGCTCCCAATCCTAAACTCGGACTTTCAGACATATGTCATCATCATAATCATCAGCTTATAGATGCCCGCTGCTGAGCAAAGGCCTCTCTCTTGTTAGACGGAGAACGATTGAGCATTATTCACCACGCTTGCTTAAGGCGGATTGGCGATTTCTAACCTACAATTATTAGAAATTATAAGTCCAGGTTTCCTTCACAGTATGCAGTGGTGTCTTAATTATCTTAGAAAGTACATAGGAATAACTCCAAAAGGGTCACTTGCAAGGTTTCAAAACCGCACCCTCATACCCGAGAAGCGGGCGCGTTCACTGCAACTTTCGGAAATATATAGATAAATAAGTATTATACTGGCGTATACACATCGTATACTGATATAGAAATATATTTCTCACACTCCTCACTGAAATAATTTTCCACTTGTGTGTTCTCAGCCATAAATATTGCAGTTAGGACTGATACGAGTCAGTAGACGTGTCAACCAGGTGCTATTTTCCTAGATAAACGTTTCCTTTGAATCACAGCTATTGTTGTGGGTGTCTAGTAGAAGATGTACACAAAGAAATCACTATGAAGATGTACGTGTACAAGATTCTGACGATACTATACATAGAAATGTATATGGTTATATGTTAGCTTTATGAGTTTTACACGGCGCAGTGGTTGATTACAGTGACAAGTTGCTGGGTACGTGGTCCAGGGGGTTTTTAGTCACTTCCTCTCGCCTCACCCTGGGCGAGAGAAGTCATTTGATGTCCCCCCCCCCTCCCCCTCCCTTAAGAAACAGAAGTTTATAACGATTCAGTTGACGACACTTAGCAAATTGCAACTAAGAGGCCGGTTATAGGTACCTAAGTGTGATTACCAAACACATTTATATTCTTTCACCTTGACCATTAATAAAATAACTTACTTCGGCATTTCAATCCTTCCGCTGTCCAAGTTCCTCTGGAAGACAACTCCAATCCCGCCTACGTCAATGGTCCCTTTTATTGCGACCAAGGCCATCGCGCCAAACATTGCGGTAATTTGGATCACGTCCGTCCAAACTACCGCTTGTAATCCACCCTGATACACAAATGGGCAATTTTTTTATAACTTTAGTAAAAGAAGTTAAATTTTTTAATGTATGTATTATTAAACTTAATTATTATTACATACCGCACTAGTGTAGAAAATGCAGACCAAACATACTATCGGAGTGATTACGTGTATATCAACACCCGTTACTGCAAATAAATATAAAATTTTGTTTAATGACTCTTCTTTTATTTTGAACTAGGTACCTCATTTATGAACCTAAATCTCAGGTCAAGATTTTTTAAACTTAGGGCCTGCTAAAGAATTAGATTTGGAAAGACAGCAAAAAAGCCCTTGCAATTACCTACTACAACAAAATTAAAGCCTGACATTACCTTGATTAAATGCCAGAGCTGGAACATATATCACAATAGGTAACCAGCCTATCTGAAATAAAACGATGAAAAAACTATAGTTTTTAGGGCCGAAAACCAGAAGCCACAATTATGCTAAAAACTTACCAACGTGAAAGCAAACAAAATTGATCCAAATAATCGCACTCTATTGTCGAATCTGATTGATAAGTACTGAAAGAAAATAAAATTTCTAAAATTAATACCTCATCTTTACATGCTATCTCATCTTTACATGCTGTCTATACCTACCTCATAATTGGAAGTAATCTTGAGTTCGTAGAACACGGGCAAATAAACCTGTGTCATGATTACCGACATCAAGAATATAGCCCCAATGATAAATGCATATTGTGTCCCATGCATGTAAACTTCTGTCGGTGACCCCAACAACGTTATTCCTGACACGAAACTAGAGGAAGGAATACATTTTCTTTTAGTTGATTCAAGACTTTTTTGACACCGTTTCTTCTAACCGATAATTTTACAGCTTGGAATTTTTCTAAAAGCAGCAATTATCTTACCTGGCCACAAGCGACATAGAAACAGGAATCACTTTCATATTTCGTCCCCCGAGTAGATAATCAGCCTGCGTGGTCTGTTTCTTCATGAAGCCCCAGTAAACACCCACAACAGCACTTATAGCCAACATAAACACAAACACTACATAATCCACCCATGAAAACCTCTGCATAAAATGGGTCAATTCCGAAACTTCTCCCAACATTTCACCCATTTTGTTAGCGATTTATAACTCCACAACAAATCAAATCCACATAGATGTCGAAAGTATATTACGAACTTCGCTATCGTTTTCTTTGACCAGATTTTCTTAAAAATTTCAGGTCAAGGGGTTTTATTATTGAAATAGATAGCCCATATCATATCGATATGCGTGGCACTAAAGGCACCCAACATTCAAATGCATGAGTCCGTCGAGACGTAAGCTCAATCTGTTACAATGAAACAATTACGATAACTCGCAATTTAAAAGAGGATGTTGCGAGATCGCCCCCCAACGGTAGCTAGGAGCGAATCGGGAACTGACTACTTGTACTTAAAAATGTGTAGGTTGGACATCATCATAAACACTTCCTCGACTGACAATGAAAATTGATTAAACAATGTAAAGCAACTACCTGCTCATCGCAAGTCAAAAAGTCAAAAGTCAAAAAGTCAAAAATTATTTATTCCAATTAGACCTTTACAGGCACTTTTGAACGTCAAACAAAATTTAAAACAAAAAATAGTGTCAGTCCTCTTAGTGAAGCTATTTGCTCGTTCCAAAGTGTAGATTCCGATGGAGAAGAACGAGCAAGAAACTCCATGGTTACTCTTTTTAAATCAGTTTCACATACAGATTCCTTTTACAAACAGTTGGTTCAATTATGTGAGAACAGTGTAACACTAATATTTATTCAAATATAAAAATAAAGTAACCTTAAGGACAATAGACAGTCTGGAGCTGACCAGTCCCAACTGACGGCGCTCGTTCACGAGCATGACACGTACACCAGCATCGCCCAACTCAACCATATTATAGGGAATTAAGCGATCCAGCGCCCATGCCACCGCCAGTGTGACCTTTCAGTGAGCATGACAACTCCAAGCTGTTACAAGGACCGACATTCTGCTAGTCTAACCAATTATAATAGGTTACAGGGCACTCACATTTACAAATTTACCAAGTTATAGTTATACAATATAATGCAATTTCACTAAAATGAAGAAGTCCCGTTCAAGCAAAATCCATTGGAACGTTATTTATTTTGGTGTAGGTTTGCTATCCTGTGGAGCAGGACCAGCATGTCTCCAAGCATCTTTATCTACAATGTAATCATTCAGTGTGTAGTATGCTTTACTACATAAAGTTTTCTTTACACATAATTTAAAATTTCTTTCATTTAATTGTTGTATTTCGCCTGGGATTTTGTTATAACATTTAACACAGAATCCCATGAACGACTTATGTACCTTTGCCAATCTAAACAATGGCTGACATAATCTACCTCTATGTCTAGTTTGATAATTATGTCTATCTGACACCTTATCGAAAAAGGGCGGCCTAAACCAAAGCCAATAGTGCGTAAGTAACCTGTTAGTTGCCGCCGTATGAGGATTGGGGAGAGGAGAATGTGCCTTTGGTAACCTATAGCTAACGCGGAGAAACACATGTAAGTGTTTCACACCGGTATTAACTAAGGCACTCCGGTTGAGCCAGCCCATTCATTCTGAAGTATGGCTCTCCCACATTTAAAACAAGTGATGAGTGGCATAAATTTCTATTTTGTTTGCTGGTTTCTGTAAAGCAAATGCTTGCATTTTTTCCTTTGTGTCACGGACACGAAGACTATCATAAATGCGAGAATTTCTGATGGTCAATATAAGTACACGCAGCTCTGCACATCAATTGTTTTTCTTAACTTTTGAGCCAGGCCTTTCAAGTAGTTTTGATTATCAACAGTACGATTGCGTTTCCATACAATGAACGTCTTTAACTTATATTTATTGGTATTTAAAAAATTATAAAGTCGACTCGGTAGTTTCCTGCTGAACACAAAATAATAGAGCAAAATATTGTGTGTAATAATTGTGTGTGAAATAAATGGTTTTTCTTTCTTTCTTTCTTTCTTTCTTTCTAAATACGTCTGTGACGTAAACGTTATACGTTATAACTACCTAGCACCGTTACACATTATTATAACAATTAATTAAACTAACAGAACATAGCACTGCCACTGGATCGCTCAATTTCCTATAATATGGTTGAGTTGGTCGGTGCTAGTGTACTTAAGTATGTGTCATGTTCGTGAACGGGCGCCGTTAATTGGGTAACGTAGTTCATTCGACAATATTGAAACAATACAATGAAATATTGAAAAATAACTATAATTTTTAAGTTTAAAGAAGTTTTAGATATTTTGTATAGCTAATTACCTATTGAGAAATAAGTAAGCTATTTATCGCAAAAATACTATGACGTCATAACTCAGATTTTCATACAAGTTTCATAGAAAAGTACCGTTTTGACATTTGAATGAAAGTATTGAATTTGACTAATTGGTAACTACGGTATTGGGACTGGTCAGCTCCAAATTGTCAAAATATATTATTGTACTAAAATATTTTTCCGTCTTTTCAAATTGAATTTTTATCTTTCTCATAAACCGACTCAGTCAAAAACTTGGATTTATAGGTCCGGGTCACCTACATACATACTACCTATAGTCGCTGATTTAAATTGTCAACCATTTCTTTTAACATCAACTAAATATATGTATAAACCTTCTACGATAATGATAAATGGGCACCGTAACAAAGTACATCTGCAATACCAAAAGCGTGACCAGAACGTTGCCAAACATGCCACGAAGAAAATTAAATAATTATTTGTTCCGATATTTTTTAACCTCGGCGCCTGTTGATGCTGGTGTTAGGAAAGAAAGTTTCCAAAACATCAAGTTTGTTCTTCCCGCCGCAGACAATGAACGAAGGTACATAAGTACGTTTAGTTTTTACATAACCTTGTCAAACAAAATCATGTCATGTCAAATTATGACAGTAACAATTCACAGCAGGTACTGAACGAATAAAAACAACCGGGGGGGCAGTAGCTTGTTTTATTATTGTTTCAAAGAAAACTAAAGCTAATCTAACTTATTAATTATACAATTAATTGAACCAGTATTTAGTTTTAAAAATGGCTGGGCTTTTGCTAAGCCCTACAGAAAAAGTGTTTATTGTGCACGGTGTACAAGTAAGTTTTATAAATTCTAACCTAAAAACATAAAAGTAAAGTTATCAAGTTATCTTTAGGCCTTAGTTCCAAAAACATTTAGGTAGCTAGCTGGCTAGCTCTCCTGCTCCCCTGTAAAGTGTAGGGAGACTGAGAATATAAAATATAAATCTATCTTCGCTTAAGCGCCCAAAACCAATACTAGGAATATCCTGCTGCTCCCTCACATATTAGTATATAGTACATACTACTTATATAGAAATCAATAATTTTGCTTGCACAACCTGTATTTTCACTTGTAATATTATATCACTTATGTAGGATGATCATCGCTCCGATGGACGGACCAATATTGATTACCGGCCAATGGAGCTAGAGACAAATGTAGTCAGTCATGCTACTGGATCATCAAGACTTCGGCTTGCCAACACAGATATACTTGTGGGTGTTAAAACTGAGATAGATGTTCCAACTCCAGAAAAACCTGATTTAGGAAAGATTGAATTTTATGTAGACTGGTGAGTAATAGTGTTGTGTATACTAAATAATAATAAAACTTTGTTCCTTTTTTTTAAAAGAATTGGAACTATATTTTCAGTCACAAGTCATGGTTGACCCTTACACCATTTTTATGGCTGTTACTTCTCGTCTTTTACCTTTCACAATAAAAAAATAGTGTCTTCTATTTTGCTTATATCTGTTTATGGCAGACTGGGGGTGTTATAATAAATTAATTAAATTGAACATCCACTTTTTACTAGTTATTAATTTTAGTATTCATATTTTCAGTTCAGCAAATGCAGCTCCACAATTTGAAGGCAGAGGTGGTGAACAGTTAGCTATAGGTATTGCTAAATTAATGCAAGCTGCATATCATTCCTCAGATGCATTTGATTTGAAACAACTATGCATATTTGAGGGCAAGCAATGCTGGAAAATCTATGTTGATATATTGGTAAGGAAACTATTTTTTCTAAGGAATTAGCCTATTGATCCTTATGTATAGATCAATTTATGTGAAAGAGTGCTTAGAATGGGGTGTTTTAGAGATACTGTGCCCACTAGAAATAGCACCAACATGTGTAAAAAATTGTCTATACTTTCAGATATTAGAATGTGGAGGCAATCTGTGTGATGCAGTGTCTATGGCTGTGAAAGCTGCACTTTTCAACACAAAGTTACCATCAGTGAAGGCAGCCCTTATGGACGGAGGGAACATAGATTTACAGTTATCTGATGACCCATATGATGCTAAATCATTAGATATTGGAACAGCACCTTTACTAGTAAGTTTAATAATTAATCATTTATACTACTAGTTTAAATAATAATTTATACATCACCTCCTAATAAAAATAATTATTTATTTACCAATTCCCAGGTGACACTGTGTAAAATTGGTGACAAATGCGTAGTAGACCCATCAGCTGAAGAAGAAAGTTGCAGTGTTATATCAGTAGTAGTGGGGGTTACAGGGAACCCCAGCAGCTATAATAGCGAGGAAAATGTGTCAGATACTGCTAAAGAAAGCAAATTCACTACAATTGAAATGATTGGATCTGGTAGTGTTGCACCAAAAACTTTGAAGGATGCAATGAACCAAGGAATGTATGTTACCAATTGTTTCACACTTCAAATAAAGCACTAGCTTTCCTAAGGCTTAATATAATAAACAGCAGGTTACACTTAACCAGGCGATTGGTTTCAAGTCAACAATGCTTTTGACCTTGACATATTTTTTACGTGATAGGTCAGCAAACAAGCTAACAGATTACCGGATGGTAAGCAATCAGCGCCGCCCCTAGACACATGCAACGACGGTGGAGTTAGGAGTGCGTTGCCGACCTATTGCGATTAATGGGGCCTCCGGTAACCTTACTCATAAGGGGAAACACAATGTTGTGGTTGTTTCAGCCGGTTTTCGTGAGGCCGTGGTACGGACCGTACCACGGCCTCACGAAAACCGGTTTAGCTGACCCATTCGTACCGAAGCATGGCTCTCCCACACATATAACATCAGCTTGATTTCTTTGATTCATCATGACTTCTTTTTGTTTTGCAGGGTTGCTGCAAAGTTACTTGATAAAGCATTAGGTGAAGCACTCTTACGAGAAAGGCAAGAAACACAAGTCAAAACAAAGAAACATTCATATGGATTCCTAAGATAAAATTAAAGCTAATCAAAACACACATTACTTTTTATTCCTTTATTGAGATTAAAATTAATTAAATTTAATACATACAATACATAGGCTTATATGTATTATACATAGAACTAAATTCCAACATACCTAATAAAGTCTCTAAATACATATATATTACTATATAAATTCAGTCATAACCAAATATCACAATCCGTTTGTATTCACACTGCCTAACAGTAATGTTTTAGAATTTCATTACATCTTATCATACCTATATCCAAACCGATAAGTAAATAAGAAATAATAAAAAAACAAGTTTTAGGAATGTAAAATAATAATGCAAATTAATAAATACATTTTGATCAAAACTAAACAATGGACAGACAAGTTACATGATCCATTATAACTGAGAGAAACAAGCTAACTATTATTATAAGAATACATGTTTAAGGTTTTATAATCTATATCCCTACACCTACTGCTTTAATTTATGGCTAAGTCAAAAATATTTTACCGTCACTACATTCTACATTATATCAAGATATTATTTATCACATCTAAAATATCATGTCTCCTCCATATCACACGAATATAAGAAGAGTAACATAGTAATAAGAAATTTGTAACATGGTATAATAAAAAAAAAAAAAAAAAAAGTAAAGATGTTGTTTACTTCTTGACTGGAGTAAGGAGGTCCAACACAGCGGCTATATTGCCATCCTTACTCTCGAGCAGTTGAGTCAACCAGCCACCCTCGTTGGTGAAGCCCATAGCCAGCATATGCTGGATCGCCGCATCAATGTGTGGTTCTGTAAACATTAATAAAGCTTTTACAAGACAAGAAAACACACAATTCGTATAGTAGCGAGATTACTTTCTGACCGTATTACATGCGATAAAAATACATATCATCTGTTTATTCAGGTCAATCTAATATCAAAGTCTACTTTAATAATCTGGCATACTTTACAGTTTTCATTTCAATGTTACAAATACGAAAAAGTACGTATTCAAGTGAAAAAAAGAAATAGGTCGCTACAAAATAGTATAGTATGTAAGCATAAAATTAAGCAACAATGAGCAATAACTACATTATACAGTGACTCGCAACTCGTTGCCGTTGACCTACATCATATACATTAGTAATTACCAATACTTAATCAGCATTCCCCGGCTCCACACTTTCGATGTTAATATTCTAACTAATCAGCTGATATAATGAACAATTACTAAAAAATATCGTTCTACCCCGAGATCGAGAAGGCGGTTATTTCAAATTCACGCTTTGTAATATTTTTTGCCGGATCACCGCCGTGGGATCTAGAAGCGAAGGCGCTCGCGCGCGTCTACAGTTTGCGCGCAGACGCGCGTCGCCGGGGCGAAGATCCTCTGCCGCGCCAAATAAGTGCGTGGCGGAATGAGCTCCGGCGAGATCTCATGGCAGAGTGGAGACAACGACTGTCGCAACCGAGGGCCGGGCACGCTACCATAGCAGCGGTAAGACCCCTCTTTGAGGAGTGGCTTGAGAGACGCCACGGCGTCCTCACCTTCCGTCTGACGCAGGTGCTTACCGGGCACGGCAGCTTCGGTAGGTTCCTGTTTCGGATTCAGCGGGAGGAAACGCCCGAGTGTCGTCATTGTGAGGACCACCTAGAGGATACGGTGGAGCATACGGTAGCGGTATGCCCTGCCTGGGCTGAGCACCGCCGTATCCTCAGGGAAGTGATCGGCGGCGGCGACCTCTCGCGCCCGGCCTTAGTCGAGGCCATGGTGCGGAGTGAGAGGAACTGGGACGCCGTCTCCTCCTTTTGTGAAGCAGTCATGCTCGCAAAGAGAGAGGCGGCCCGCGTGAGGGAGCAATCCTCCTCCTCACGCCCCAGCAGCCGCAACTGGCGACACTACGGGCGTCGGGGATCGAGGGACGATCTTCGGCCACCGTAAGTACGGGCCTGCGGTCGGCGAGTAAGGGCAGCTCGCCGCCCGACCAGAACCAGGCCCGAGCGTACGGCGCGTAGCGTTCCGCGCGCGCCTCAAAGAGCCAATAGACCACCACAGACGGGGCCCTAAAGGGCTGATGTTCAGCCGGGGTTGCGGGGTAAGCGCAATAAGGTACCGCGACCTCGGCACAGAGCAGGAGAAGGAACAGGGGGGTTTTTAGTCAGTAAGAGTCTGACACTCCCTCCTGCCCGGCCCTGGGCGGGAGAAGTCATTTGATGATTTTCCCCTCACAAAAAAAAAAAAAAAAAAACGCTTTGTAATATTTTAGGTACTACCTTATCGAGGCAAGAACAAACGTGACGATTGGTCTTGTTATTGATCACAGGAAATATTTTCGATAAACATAACCCTTCATATCAATGACTAAGTTTTGTAGAAGCACGTTTGATATGAAAGTAAAACAATGCGATGATTCAGACATAATTACCTACTTTGATATTGATAAAGTTACGTTAAGTACTTAAATAATGTTGTTAGACTAATGTTATGTTAACGACGTTTTAATTGTATCAAGATGTTTATAGGTCTTTACTTACTTGGATGACGCTGCCTGGGTTGGGGTTGTGGTTGCGGTGCAGCTGGAGCCGGAGCAGGCTTGGCCTGCGGCGGGGGGGCTGCTGCGGCCGGCGCGGGGGGAGCTGTCGCCTGCACCGGCTTCAGCACTTCGGGCTCTTTAGGATCCAACACTAAACCATCAGTTTCAGTCAATAATGATGAAACATGGCCTACTTTGTGTTCAAGTATTAAATTTTTTTTTAAATTAAATTTTGTACTAGGATTTAAAAAATGAGAAAATGAAAGATGATGATTTTATTTATAATTACCTGCAGTTGAGGTGTTCAGAGGTGGATACAAACCGCCTTCGGCGATTTTGACGCGTTCTTGGAACTCTTGAGGCAAGTTGAAACCAATAGGAGCAGGAGTTTCAGGAAGTGCACTAGCAGTGTCCATCAAATCTAAAATAAACACAAATTATTTAAATGTTATAATAATGAAAACCTTTACAAACAACAATGTAGAAAAGAATTTCTATTTTAAAATTACCTTTTTCCTTGTTAATCACAGTCCAGTCATCGACTTTGTCTGGAGAAGCATCTCTGGGGTAATCACTGACGCTGGATGCAGAAGAAGATGCTGGCTTAGCAGGAGCATCAACAGTCTCAGGCGCCTTCCTGTCTCCTTGTCCCATTTCCACATCGTTATTTGGAGTTGATGTGGGGGCAGTAGCATTTGCAGGTGCTGAAGGTTGCGCCTGAGGTGTTGGGGGCACAAAACGATTGCCATTCCTTCCAAGGAACATCTCTGCTAGTTCCATGATTTGATCAATATTTAATGCCTTAGGTGTATTGAATGGGCACTGAGTTTGTGCATTTGCAGAGGTACTTGGCTCTGGTTGTTTAGGAGCTTGAGTTGATTGGGCACTCTCCTGCGCCTTCTCCTTGCTCTCTTGAGGTCCTTGACCTTGTGTTTCAGGAGTTTGACCCTGAGTTCCTGTTGTCTGACCCTGGGTTTCAGTGTTCTGACCTGTCTTAGTTTCAGGTGCCTTTGGTTTATTGTCATCAAGATCAATATCTCCTGCAAGATTAGCGAACTCATTCATGTAAGTAGCAAAGGTGTCGAGCCAGCTGACACGCGTGCGGCGACGATGGTGTTCGTCATGCTGTCCGTGAGGGCCGCGTTCAGTGTGCGGTCCATGATGACCGCCATGACCATGGCGGTGTTTTTTGTCAGCACCCCTTTCGCTGCGGTGTTTCTTGTAAGGACAGTCCTCACCAACGGCCGTAGCGACGGACTTCAAGAAATGGCGAGACCTTTTTATGGCAGCTTTAATAATAGTGCGCTGTAACAAAAACACAAATGTTAACCATTGTAAATTCAAAAAACATTAATTAAATAGCCCCATTACGTTAATGCGATAGGAAACGGATATGTATATCCTGTCGTACTTACAGGCAAGGCCGGCGCTGGAATTCGGATCATGCAATGTTCCGGGTGACGGCCTGCGGCTTCGCATTGTGAGCACAAGTCATAGTCATCACAGATAGAACACTTGTAACGGAAGCCTATTACAGCACCATCACATGAATCACACTGTACTCCATAGTGAACTGCTGGTGCACCTGGGGCCTCTACAAAACAAGATTAAAAGATATAGACGAGATGTAAATGTAGCTTTTATAAATCACTACATGTCATATCATACATATGTAGAACACATTGTAACATTACTATCTATTAGTAGGGATGATAAAATTATAAGCAATTTAATATATTAAGTACCAATGAACTTGAAGACAGTTATATGTTGGAACTTTTTAAATTAGTATATTAACTTGTGGCATAGTCATAAACTTACCTGCAGGATTGCCAGCTACAGCTGTGAATACAATATCACAGCCATCATCCTTAGCTTCCTCAGACTTGCAGTACACAAACAGCCTGATGACATCTCCACCCAAAACTTGCAATGCAGTCATGACTTCATCATCCGAAGAAATGACAACATTATCGCCATCCTCATCTGGATAACATCAACAAAATACTATTTAGATGAAATGTAAGTATTTAGAGTAGAAAAAGTCTGTTGAGGTTAACATTGTATTTTAATTGAAAGTCAATAAAACTGGTTAATCAATGGTGATTCATGATGTGAAGGTCTCCATTACTAATATTGAAATAGTTAGTTATTTTGGTATTCTTTAATGTTTGGAATGTTATAGCACAATTTTTAGTAATTGTGCTCATTGAAATTTTTTTTTAAATGCCTTATTTTTAATTTAGGTATGTCGGCGCATTACTATGGCCATGGATCTATGATATTGGTAGGAGGAGGCGACGCGCCGGCCGAATCTATAAAACTCACGGCCGCGCGAACGCCGCCCTTCTTTCTTCACACACACTCGGCTGATCAACGTCAAAGACTTCGGGCATTTCTCTATTATCGCGCCGCGCCGATCTTGATGTAGTTTGCGAAATATACCTATGTTTTGTGCAGTCTCCTGTTTCATTGAAAGTAACTCGAAAGAGCTATAAAGGTACTTATATTAAATGCTGTGCTAACCTTTCCATGCTACAGAATAGGTCTTCGACTTGAGGCCAGGGTACACATCTTGAAGCTTAGCGTTCAGGTAGTGGAAGCTAGTGACAACACTCTTCTCTACTCCAAATCTTCTAACTTCTGGCTTGCCATTCTCAGTCCAGAATGTATAAACTTTGAAAGGAACTTGGTCTTCCATGCCTGTGAAAAAATAAATTGCTTTTATTAGTATTTTTTGTCAATCAAAATTTTCAAGAACTGTAATGAAGGAAGTTAAGCATTATAATATTTCATCAAATGTTACTCACTGGCAGATGATGCAATATCTAACATTTTTTTGTTATACATTTTGCTTCTACTACATTTCTATCAGTGTAAATACTTTTGTTAACTATTTCAGCATTATGAAAAAATAACTATTTTGTTTTGTAATAGGCAATCAAATTCTTTTTAAATTATTTGTATTAGGTAGAGGTTTGTAGAGAGTTGTTGTTAGAGTAACTTTAAATATTGTTGACCATGAACAAAAATACATTAAATTTAATGTACCATTAGATTTCATTATTTAGAAACATCAATCAATTTATTATTTACTAAAAATAATCTTATTTATTCTATGTACAAATTCTTTGTATCTCAAAAATAACAAGTATATTAGACATAAGCTTACTTGGTAAGGAATAATACAACCTATTTCCATGAATTTGTGAGATAATATTACAATTTAAAGACAAAGGAAATCATTTGTTCTACATATCTAACACCAAATTTGTTTATCTAGAAGCCATTTTGTTTGACTTCCACAAAGTATTTCAAATACCACTATATAAGACAACCGGATCACACATAATAAATAAAATCTGCTTAAAGGAGAAACATTATTTTACCGTAAGGCAGAAAATCAAGTAATAAATTTATCATCTCACCTGATATATTTTAAAGTAAATCCAAAACTTTTAATTTTACGAAACACACAGTGACACGGTAATGCGTCGCACTTTGAACAAAGTTCTACAGTGAATATTGACTGCTACGACGCGCACGGTATATAAACGAACATAATATTATGAATCACCGAATCGAACAGTTGAGAAAAACAATATTTTGTTGTGCAATCTATCTGTCAAAACAAAAAGTCATTGTCGCGTTCCATTATTTGCATGGTATTAAAACTAGCATGAATATTTTTTTCTTTTTGCTCGTGTCAATGTAAATAGCGTTGAAAGACGATTTCTTCATAAAAAGTTTATGTTGCAAATGACAGTTTTTAGTTTAACTAAGGATGGAACACAATCACGCATTCCATTTTATGCAATATTTAAATTAAGGCAGGTCGATGTTTGATGTTTCAAAATGTTTTTTTTTTATAAAAAAGTGATGATACACTGGCATTATACCATAAGTAAACGCTAGAAGGTCGGAAAAAATTACTATAATGACCAGGGCATATCATCAATCTTTTCATTCATAGAAAGGAAAGCAAGGCTAAACAAGAAACAAGCTGTGCTGTGCAAAAGCAACATGAACTTTTTGCTAGTCATGCTAAGCCTCTAATTTACCACCTTCATAATATCAGAATTTTATTACGTGCCATTAGCTCGTATAACTTTTGTTCTACTTATTTAAATTTGTCTCGTACTTATCGGACCTTCAAACATAGGTACTGGAGGAGGTTCCAAGAGCTCCATGTTTACGACGTAGAAATGTATCTTTATAGCATATTATTATGCTTTTCTACTTCTATCCGACTATAGTAACTACAGTCGTATCGTACACACATTTCATTATAGACGATTTTACAAAATTATATAGGTATTTAGTAGACCTAGATATCTACTTACTAAACTAAATACCTACTTTCTTTTGACTCGGGAATCGAAGCCAGGCCCCCGTCGACAGTCGTCGGTAATTGTTGTTGCTCACCTAGTGCTTGCTTATCAATTAAAGCTGGTATCTAAGCTTCTACATGTTAACTAGCTACCTATGCGACTTAGTTCATATGTGTATATTTTCTTTATTAAACAACCAATGTACCGGTGTTCAAAAGTACCCTACCTGTTTATGGTTTAGTGATACATTTAGTCATTCCCTTTTACTCTTTGCTACAGTGGGATTGAGGGGGATCCTGAGTAAAACTGTTGTTTTTTGTCTTAAATTTCATAATTATTTGACTTCTTACACAAGAATAGAGAAAAATACATCAAAGCAAACTTGTTTTGTTGGGTATCAAATCGACACTATCATTGATGGGACAAATATTTAAATATTTATGCTAATTACCTTATTAGCATTGCCTAAAATCAACGAGATATTTTTAAATCCGAAAATTGTTCAGTACTTCAGATGAGAGTTTGGATTAATGCTTGGTCATGATATGAATGATAGGAATGTAATAATGATATTTTTCGCTAGTATTTATTTTATTTAGGCTGAAACAATAAAACATTTTTGTGATAAATAGAAAGTTTATAAGTATAACATTTTCCATTACTCCTCTACACTTCATATAATAATATAAAGACAACACAATATTGAATTTTCTTGTACTTAAAACCAAATATACAAATAATAACTAATCTTGATGCTCCTTTTCTATCGCGCGAGTTGAACGCGGTACATAATATTGTGAATATTTTTTTTCTTCAAACTTTGGAGGACCACCTAGTTGTACAGTTTCTGGAACATTTAATTCTTCATTTAACTTTTTCGCCAAGAAGTATATTTCAGCTAAAGCTATTACTAAGGCACACATTACACCTAGTAATAGTCTAAATCCAAAATCTAGATTGCCCACAAGCCATTCTACACCTCTGAACCCGAACAAGAATCCAGCAAATATTGATATGATGAACTGTCCAATAGCAATCAACTGACGATTCATTTGTTTCACTGAAATAAAAAAAATGTATTAATATTTTATTACCTTACTCATTTTATTGATGACGGCAGGACTATAATAATAAGAGGGTATGAAATTAAATTTGATTTCACAATAGATTAAAATATGAAGTAACACTGAATTACTCATAATACATTTCATTCTTTTAAACATTGCCCCGCACTAGGATTTTCTCCTGTGTTGTGCGTGTAATTTACAATTTCATATACACATGACAACCAGACCCAACAACAATTTGTGGATCGCACAGTTGTTCTGTGCGGGAACCAAACAGTGGTTAATATTTTAACCATTATAATATTATCATGTAGATCAAATTAAATTACTTATTGTAATTTGGCTTACACATCAGCACAGCCATAGGTTGATCAAAATTGTATTTTATAAATTTAAACAAAAAATATTTGTTTCGTGTTTTCTCACTAGTTTACTAGCTACTCTCGTGAGGTTTCACCCGCTGCTTGACTCCATGTAAGCATAGCGTGATGTTTTATAGCCTATAGAGTGGGAGAGCCATGCTTCGGCACGAATGGGTCGGCTCGACCGGAGTGACACGGCCTCACAGAAGACCGGCGTGAAACAACAACAGCGTTGTGTGTCGCCGTGTGAGTGAGGTTACCGGAGGCCCAATCGTTCCCCGCCCCCAATCCCTCCTCAATCCCTAAATCTCCAAATCCTTAATCCCTAAAAGGTCGGCAACGCACTCGTAACTCTTCCGTTGCGGGTGTCCATGGGCGGCGCTGATTGCTTACCATCAGGTAATCCGTCTGTTTGTTTGTCGAACAATTACATAAAAAAAAATAGCACTCAGGAACATTCTAGCTACCTATCAGTGAACGAATTTTGGCAATCCGACCAGCGGTTTCAAAGATTACCCTGTACATACAAACTTACAAATTTCACCTCTGTATAGACAATCAACCAGATGTTGTAAAGTATAACAGACAGAATTCGGCATTTTAATGTACCTACAATTCGTGTCAGTTTCCACATCTTGCTTACTCTACAAAACCTAACCTAGCTTATACAATTTGAAATGCAAAAATTAAGGGTTACTATCATTTTATGTTTATATTTATCCCCATTTATAATCCATAGTAACAAATAAATACCAGAACAGACTCTTCTACAGACAGGGTAAGTAAATAAATGGATACATACATTGATAAGAGATGCTATCTTCTGGAAACTTCATTCTCACATTATCAACAGATTTTGTCATCTTTCGGTATTCTCGTGCTTCTTGCTGAGCCCTCAATTTAACACATCTTGCTTCAAGTATGGGGTCTCTCGGAAGTACTTGGTTTTCTGGTGTTTCTATAGACGAACCTTCTAAAAGAACATGTAAGTATGGGACATTTTTGTCACCTTTTGCTTTCCTTTGTTTTTGAAGGTAAGTATAAAGCCAGTCTATATCAGTAGTTAATAAATACAATTTTTCTTCTTTCTTGTTTTCTTTATTATCATTTTCATTGTTTAGTTTACTTTTATCCAATACTTTTCCTTCAGAATCTGTTTGTTCAGAAATTGTACATTTTTCATCTTTTTCTACATTATCATCTTTTTTAGGTTCCTCATCAACATTGCTTTGTTCTTGTTCTTTCACTTCATCATCAACTTTCATTATAGCTTTAATTTTATTTAAATTTTCAATATCAGTGCTATTTAAATGCACTGCAATTACCTGCTCCTCATTTTTGGCTTCTTTATGTTTTACTTCATAATTCCTTCCTTTAACTAGCCTTCCAATATTAAGGGGTACATTATCATCAATGGGTACACTTTTAAGATAATCAAGTAAATGTTTTGATGGGTAGATTCTTAGGTTGGTATCAACAAGTGATCCCATGGAATCCATTATTTATTTGGCAATATTTAATTTGTGGTTAAGATCAGCATACAAATCTCTTAGTTCTTCTTCTTTTTCCTCAAAAGTATTGTCAATTCTTTGGCATTTAAAGTTCATATCATCAATGAACTGATCCCATTCCTTTTGTCTCTTTTCTTTTAGCTCTTGTCTTTGTAGGTCATAAACCTGCAATAGAATGAAAAAAAAAACTAACATTATTACAAAGTGTCAAAATCACTAATGCTAGGAAAATGGAATACAGATTTTGAACTCCTTCAATATGTTACTACTGATTTATGAACTTGTTAAGTCTCACCTTACGTGAATCTAGATAATCATTCTCAACTTCTTCACTTAGTTTTAGAGCTTGTTCCAATTTCTCCTTCAAGATGGGCAGACCAGTCTCACCAGTCTTTATTATTTTCTCCGCCTGACTGTCCTTGATATCAGTCAATTTCTCAAGGATAGAAAACAAATTCTCTACTTCCCGATCTCCACGCTTCTCCTAAAATCCAACAAAGTTTTAAATTGTTTTGCAAATTTTTTCATAATTTCAAGCTATGTTTGATTCGATCAAAAACATCTTATCACTGTAGGCATAATTATTTTTTTAGGTTATGATACAGTGACATTGTATTTTGTTTGTAAAGAGTTTGGTAACTTAACATTGGTCACTATGCTGGTTGTTTATAAATGTATAATACATAATATACTTACTTTATGGTTAGAAAACTAGACAAGCATACACCAAACATGATGCAAATTGATTTTCTCTTTTAAGTAAATACCACAAGCTAAGATCTCAGTTCAAATTTATTAGTTTTAAGTTAAAATATTTTTTTGAATGAAAACTACATTCTGGGTAGGAAGTTCCCAAAAAAAACTGTAGATGAACTACCCAGTAAATATTGTAGATGCAAATACATACCTCAAACTCCTTTAGCATAAACTTTATTTCACCATTAAGGAATGGGCGATGGTCGAATAATCTTGACCAGATTTCTCCAATCTCTGCAAGTACATTTCAAAGGTCATAATTATTTTGATGAATATCACAAATAATTGGTTTAGTCATGAAATACAATGAAACATTACTTTAGGAAAGTTTATCGTTTATTAAAAATTAGTTATTAATCTTTAAATATTGCTAGTTCTGTAAATGAATGTTGTAATACCTTTTTTATTTGTAAATAAATAAAATATGCAACTATGGTGTATACATTTAACGGTTAGTATATTAACTGGAGAATTATTCATTAAACAACTAATGGAAGCTTAGAAGTGCCTATATATAAACAAAGCTAAGCTAGAATATTATAAAATATTAAAATTGATATAGACTACACAAACCTCGTGACAGCTCCGTCATAATGTCATTCAATTTACTGTCTTTTGACAGCCAGTGGTTACAACACGTATGACTTCCGGTTTACGTTTGGATAGTTCTTAGAAAAATCAAAGTTAAAATGGCATAATGTCTTTTTTTATTTTTCATTTTACAAATTAGTATTGTAGTTTTGATATATAATAAAAACAGGTAAACAACGGTTTCATTCGGTGATTGAATAATAAGTTACAACATATTTACAAGATTTAATTAGACTACATTGTCTCTGTAGCTATAATCTGTTATAATTCCTAAAACTGCAGAGCAATCACAATCGGTCGAATCTATAAAATCATGTTGTTTGAAAAATTAACTATAGTGAAGGATACACAAATGTGTATCCGAAAACAGATTTCTCTGAACCGGAAACAATTCCTGCAACTTAACAAACATTTATGTTCGTTCAGTCATTCAGTACTTCAATTCAAATTCAACATCGCTCCTCTGCATTTTTCAATCAATTTAGTAACTTCATTCATCTTTGCTGAGAATGGGCGGTTCGTGAGTTGACGTGTTTGGATGCGATATTGTTTTTATTTGCGCAGAAGTGTTTTGTCGGTGATAATGTGTTCAATTTGCATTGTAAAGTTCGTTGGTTTTGTGTGATTTGTTAACTGTACACGAATGTGAAATTTGGGACTTGAATTAGTGGAAATTCGCGTCTGGCCACCATGCCGGGTCTTATTGGTATTGGTGAATTCATTGAGGAAACTCGAGAGGATTACAGTTCGCCTACTACTTCTACGTTCGTATCTCGCATGCCACAATGTCGTCAGACCATCAGTGCTTTGGAAGAGGTAAATTTAGTCGAATAATTCCTTTATTACCCAAGTTTAAGCCAAGCTGTTGTCAAGATAAGAAAACATTATCTTCCTGTTCAAAAACAGGGTGTTAAACAATTAAATTTATTTTTAATTCCCGAAAGAACGCATACCTTTCTTTATAAAATTGTCATCGGTATGGACATCTGTTCTTTTTCTCCAAATAACTACTTCCAAACATTGATTTGTTTTCATTGCTAAATAAAATTCGTATCATGTTTTGCTAAAGATAAGCAGCAGTATTTAATGCATTCGTTTGTTTGTTGAAGTATTTTTACAGTTGTGATTTTTATAAATAGAATATGATACGGAGTGTATTTTAATTTGATAAACTTTTATTTAATGAATGCCGCGCGATAGGAGGATAAGACCGGGAGCGTAGGTGCGTCTCGACCTTGGAAACGCCCCCTTGCAAAAAATGTATACACCCTGTTTTTGTGCCCACGCAATTGTAGAACAATTGCCGACGTATTACTGCAATTTGATTACGAACGCCTATCGACATTTGATATTATTGCAAGAATCTATAGCTTGCATTTATATTTCTGCTCCAATGAGCTAGTAAGAAAGCACAATCTTAATTCCAGTTTATTTTGCTGTCGAATTTATAAGGAGTTTAAACTAGGTAAATCATCTGTTCGGTTTTCACATAGAGAAATAATAACTTCTCTATGGATTTTCACCATCTGTAATATGACGAACCTAAATTTGGATAAAAAAACCATGGGGAAGCAAAAAATACGTACACTGCAACCTTTTTCAAAACCTCTTTGTTTTAAGTTTGTCCTTACTTGATGTATGTGAAGGTATGTGTGTACTTAAGTACATAAGTGCGACATACTACTTACCTAGTTACACGACATAAACATCGTATCATAAAACAGAAGAAAGGATTCGCGAAAATTTATTAGGTAGGTACTTACCTAATATTGAGACATTCGGAATTTTTAAAACTGTTTCAAATTAAACGCTAGTTGTCTTTTATCCGCATAAATCTAGGAACGATAAGCTTAAGAAAGAAGGTTTAATTCTTACAAGCTTAACGTACATAATGTTTTTTTCGTTGAATGTTATCAGCGTCTAAAGTCCTTACATTCCATATTTCCACATCGGACGACCCAGGAATGAAGGAAATTAACTTCCGGATCCGACAGCAATCTCATTTACGACCAGACGACAAGATAGTTCTCTGAGGAACCTTATAAAATTTCATCTGTAGTTAAATGTCGCGAATATCTCTAAGCTGTTATTTCCCAGAGCTGAAAATCAACTTTGAGAAATTTCCAAGGCAAAACTATATAGTAGGTAAATAGGTAATTAAATTAACTGTAAATTATCGTAATATCCAGAGACCCTAGCTAAGGCGTCATGTTTCCGCAATTATCATGAAGGAAGTTATCATGAGTAACCACCGGAAATGCTTATTAGGGGACTACACGCTTGACATCTGTCGAACATTGCAATGCTCAGGTGATCCTGCTTGGAACATAACTTCCGGCGGCTTTGAGCTTTTTTCAAATAAAAAGACGGCGCGTCGCGAAACAAAAACAAAAAAAAAATATACACCAATACGTTACCCATCCAAATGTTTTTTTTATTATTTATTTGAGTGCGTTTGACCTCTTTCACGCCTGATGGAAAGCAATGACAGGGTTTAAGATGGAACACGCAAACTTAAAAAATGTCTATTAACTCTTGCCTTGAAAATACCTAAATCGTAGGGCTCTGGGAACAATCCACTACTTACTAAACAAATGATTTAATCGATTATAAGAATACCAGACACGTTTAAGCCACTTCATTTACGCGAAAGTATTGAATTCAAAGGTACTTAAATCGATAAAAAACACTGTGTATCATAAATTAAAATAAATCTGAAATAGCTTCCCTAGTAGCAAAATTAACAGAGATAATATAGGTAGTTAGTTACTGTTTTATTGTAGTAGATAGGTTCCGGAATGCGTGATGTGGACTTGGTAGTCGGTAAATGACACTATTCGTGACGGTCAACCGCTTAGCTCTAGTATCGACAAGCGCCTTAAGAGGCTCTTGTTAGACAGATGGGTCAAGGGTCTGATTGACGTCGAGAGTTATTGGATAGTATAGCAAGTATGTATTTCCGAAGACAAATAGACCTACTTTTTAGAAATGGTGATGTGCCTCTTCTTGTAAGCTCTAATAAAAGTGTGGAATATATACGGTGTCGTGTAGCAATGAAACAAAATCTTCGTTGACCACTCTCAACTTTTTTATATTGTGAGATATAAAATTAGTAAAAATAACTAAGAAACTTCAGTTTCTTTAGCTTTTCTCCGTTATCTCACGTGTGTAAGTCGTTACTTTCAACATATTTACTTTAAATTTCATGTTATCATTTAGTACCCAAGTACACTTAGTACATCACTACTCGTGCGAGTTGAATATGCAAATATAGGTTCTAGTAAGTATTATAGCATCTCCATCGACCTTGCGTTCTCCACGATTCCTAGAAGAATCCAATAGTCACAGATCTGAAATCTGAAACCATCTTCGTCTTCGTTCCATACTCACTATTTTAGGTATATATATATATATATCTAAGTTAGTAATATCTGTCTGTCTAGACATTTTCACTTCACAAAGACGCAGACACATAATTTGATTCGTGATTTTCGCCGTGAAACCGTGCATAGGTACGAGATTTTATGTTAAACAGTTTATTATTAGGTTTATGGTCTAACTTATATTGCACCTAGCATTGCACACATTAACTATGACTACCTATTAAATACATATACATAGAAGTATAACTATAAAATGTATTATATTTTTTTCTATATTTTGGTAAGTTTCTATAAAGTCAATAAAAAAGTCTCGGTTGTTCACCTTTCAAACATACGTTCCATAGGTAGTGTAATAAATAGCACGTATTGTGAATTTCAGACGCTTTTAAAACTTTTATTTTAGTCGTAAAACTAGACGAAACAAAGTATTAACATATTCCGCATAATGAACACAAAACAGGGATTACGAGTTTAGAGAAAGTTCGACATTGATATCTCTCCGGCTGCGTTGCAAAAGGAAACCTTGACCGGTTAGTCGACTGGTCCACGAACAAGTTTCAGGTTACGGAAATGAGTATTTTATTTTCATTGTTCTATTCTAGCATGCTCGTCTGACACGCATTTCATGATTAATACACATTCGTTTTGAACATTGACCGATAGACTGCTTTTATAAGTACATATAAAACAAAGAAAATGGGGCAGTCCAAAAATGCAATTAGCACTAATTACAGGTATTATGCAACTACGTCTATAAAGAAAGTAGCTATTTGTTTGTAAATCGTCAGAACAGTACTAAATAAGAACACACAATAGACCGCGCCCGATGTTCTTATCAATGAGACGTGTAACGGCTACTGGATACAGTTGTTTTCTGTTATCAAACTAAATACAAGTTGCAGTTTCCAATTTCCTGCGTGAGCCGACTAGCTGACCACTGGTGGTTATATCGGAACACGTTTCCGCTAACAAGTAAAACAAACTACGATAGAAAGGTGGTAGCCTCACGTAGGTCACTAGGTCGCTAGGCGGTCTAATGGAAATTCAAATTATCAATTTAAAAATCATCATGTATTGGAAAGTCGTATCATTAACATCAATACTTTAAAATAAGATTTTTAATGGAGCAACTAAATCTATTAATATCAACATACACCATAGTCTAGTTGTTTGTTATACATGAATATGGAATATCAAGGAATTAAATAATCCAGTAGTTCCTAGATAGTTATTATTGAAAGCGTCATCTCATCGTGTGCATAACTGAATACGAAGATGCTGTAATATCGTCATGTGAACCATTTAATGAAAGCTTAATACTGTGCTGTGGCATAAATTGCAGTGTAGCCTACAAACACGACAAAAGTGAATTATCTACTGTTTCGAAGTGTTATGATGACGCACAGTGAATGCTGATGACATTTTGACGACAGGGACGCTTAGATACTTAGGCGATTGAGAAATAATTGCAAGATCGACCAGCCACTATAAATCCTGCCATTACAAAGATAATAATTCCATACGCTTGAAAGAAATAGAAAACAGTTTGAAAATCGAACATACAGAACATGTTGGTTTAATAGTAAATCAAAGACTAAAACCTTTTGTTTTAAAGAAACGGCTAATTTATGTAATTTCAACCTCTTGTACAATTTTGCTGCGTGCGTTTAAAACGTTTGGCTAACCGCCAGCAAGTAACTGGGTACAAATTGAATAAACGAATCGGTGCTTAATCAATGTCGGATAGTCGGAGAGTTCCGAGAAAAAATAAACCCATTATGGAAAAGGACGTATAGGTTCTTACTTACACACATAAGTGTATGTTGAAACCACCTGGAAGGTCTCACGCGAGCACGGGGCAGAGCTAAATTTTATAACAATAAATAAATTCTACCTCTGCTATTTGAAAAATAAATTTAGTTTTATTTCATCAACCCAAATCTAAAATGTTATATGAGTACGTAGTTTACTTAATTAAACTTGGTCCACTTTTTTTATGTCATACACATTTGTGTTGTATTTGTTTTGTTTACGAAAATAAAAACAAATTAATTATCCAGTGACACCTGTCTTTTACTTTAAGAACCTTACAAACGTTGAATAGTTGTAATCAATCTCAAAACTCAAGATGAATATGAATTGCTATTATATGTTTCGTGGTTATAGTGCGTTGTATGAATAGGCCTTAAAAGGTCAACAGCCAATGAGTCATCATCATCCATGGCACTATCTCGCGCTGCATAGCGAAGTCTTCGACTAACCAAACACCGGAGATGCGGCACACGATAAAAATCCTGCATGACTCACATATGTTGTGTTGTTTGTAGAATGGATAATCGAATGAAGAATGACTACAATACTCCTTGTCTAACTAGCCGATGACGGTGTATTTTGTCAATTAAACAATAAAAATAATAACGATAATTATTGAAA